TGACACGGATTGGGGATCCGCGGACCTGTCGTGTAAACACCAGATCCACGGATCGGGGAAGTTACCCTGAGGTCGGGTCTGTCCCCCTACAGGGGAATTCTAAGCGAAAACTTAGAAATACAAAAGAAATGCTCCCAAAATGCTAAAAAATAATATCTTTAAAAATATAGTTCCCATGCGATGTTTTGACTATGTTTGAACATTCCCCCTGTAGAGGTACAGGCCCGACTTTCAAAGTTACCCCACGAAGGACAAGGCGAATGCTCAAAAACAATCAAAAAATAGTCCCCATACTATGCTTTGACTATTTCTGAAGATTCCCCCTGTGGAGGGACAGGCCCGACTCTCAAAGTTGCCCCCCCCGAAGGACGAGGCGAAGGCCGCCGCACCCGGCGACGGAGCGCGCCGGCTCTGCACGGGAGCGGGCCCCCGCCGCGGGATCCGCGCGCCGCGGTCCGCGTCTGCGCGCTCCCTTGGAGCCAAGGGGCCCAAGGACACACAAATACGCACACACAAGTAAGACAAAAACCCATATTTCCCAATGTTTTCTGGGTTTTGGTCTTCCCCCCCACTTCCCAAATCTTCCCATCTTTTCCCGGGAATCGACCGGGCCCCCGCCGCGGATCCGCGCGCCGCGGTCCGTGTCTGCGCTCCCTTGGAGCCATCCCTTGGCTGGCCATCGCTCGGACGTCCATTCCCTGTGTTTTTTTCGGTTTCGTGCGTGGTTGTTTCGCCAGAGGGTCAAGGATGCTCCTCGGTGGTCCTCGCCGAAGGAAAAAGGCACACGTCCGAGCGATGCCAAGTGGGGGATCGAATGGGAACTGTCCCAACACCAACACCAACACCAACACAGGTTTGCGCCGTGGCCCGTGGTCCGTGTTTGCGCTCCCTTGATCAAGGGGCCCAAGGGCACACAAATACATACACACAAATAGAACAAAAACCTATATTTTCCTATATTTTCTTGTTTTTGTTGGTCTTCCCCCCCCCACTTCCCATATTTTCCCACATTTTCCTGGGGGTCGACGATGAATTGTGTCTGTGTGTTTTTTCCCCTCCTGACTTGAGTCATCCCTGGGGGGATCGGATGGGAACTGGCCCTCAGCCTTACTACCTCAGGAGGCAACTACTGTTGGAGGCCTGGAAATGGGCACCAACACCAACACAGGGGGCTGCCTCCACAGGGGGGAGATGATCCTAGATTTCGGTGTTGGTGGTAATATGTCGGCCACCTTGAAGCCAGAGTATTGCCACCATCACCGAGATCGGGATCTTCTTCCCTCGGTGGAAGCACATCGCCGATACTGGTGTTGGTTTCAACCTCTAGGCCTGCGACCCTGGGGGATCGAATGGGAACTGCCCCTCAGCCTTACTACCTCAGGAGGCAACTGCTGGGAGGCTTTCGTCGGAAGAATCAAGGGGGATGAAGCCCCATGTGGGAGCTCTTACGCCGGAATGGGCCTCGGACTGAGCAGGAGTAAGCCGGATGAAGCGGGATGAAGCGGGATGAAGCCGGATTCAGCGGGATTCCGCCGGACTAAGCCGGAGGTCGGACCAGGGCCAGATCAGAATTTGCCCTCCCAGGAGCTGCATCCGAAACTGCCATCCCTCCCCCTCGTCTTCTCGTCCACTTCCTCCTTCCTGGGGCTGCGCTCGGCACTCATGGGGACCCAAAGAATATACACCACCACCACGTCAATTCCTCCTCTCTCCTCTACCCTCCTCTTCCTTTCCTCTTTCCTGGGAGAGGGAGGGGGTGAGGGAGGTGGTGGTGGTTTGCATTCTTGGGCCCCCCAACTCGGGATTCCCATCGGGCAGCTCTCCTGCACGCTGGCGGGGCCCTGCGGCCTTGTCCTGCCTCGCCCACTGGCACGAGGTCTCGGACGGGGCGGGTCAGGTCATGTTGGAGGCCTGGAAATTGGCACCAACACCAGCACAGGGCGTTCGCCTCCACATGGGGAAGATGGCCTTAGATGTCGGCGTTGGTGGTAATATTTCGGTCACCTTGAAGCCAGAATATCACCACCATCACCGAAATCGGGATCGTCCTCCCTCGGTGGAGGCACACCGCCGATCTTGGTGTCGGTGTCAACCTCTAGGCCTGCGACATGGGGACCTACAAACAAGTCACAACCGTTGTGCACAGCACGACCTTACAGAAGATGTGCACCCACGCCAGCGCCAACTTCCCCACGGGAAAGCCACGAATGTTGACGATGGCACCACGTAGCAATTGCGGGGCCCTCACTGAAGGTCAGCTATGCTGTGTCAGGTCCGCGATTGCGAAGACGGCCCCTGGCACTCTCAACTCGGTGACGACGGAGTTGGTGCCTTGCCTGCGAACTTGCAGCATGCGTCACACTCTGCTCATCCAAACGGGGTAATGACCTGGCAAAAGATGCGGGAGTGCCTCATGCAAGACCCTGACATGCCGCAAGGTACGTCGTGGACACGCTTCTCACGGCGCAAGAGTGCTAGGAGACTGGGGAGGCCAGAAGCCTCCAGGGATATCCAGGGGCTTCCCAGAACCGCCTGGGACTCCTGGATACGCAGGGGGGGCGACGACGTCTCGGGCAGAAGAGGGAGCCAACCAAGACCGAACGCTCGTGCAAAGCTTTTTGCTCGGCCTCCCTGATGCTGACGAACGGCCGACCCAAAGGCCGACCAGACCCTTCTCGATCCCGAACCCACACGCTTTTGGGGGCGCCGCGGCTACGCGCGCGGCAGCGCGGCGTGGGTCAAGTCAGGCTTTTCCCTCGAGCGTCCCAACCTGCGCGGCGGGAAGTGGCGATCAAACTACCCCAATCCGGAAGCAGAAAGTGAAGCACGAAGGATGCAGCTGGGACTCAGGGACGTAGGTCCAGTCAGGCAGAAGCGCGCGGGCCCGGCCAGCTCATGCAGCGACCCTGGGGGTGACCTGGCCTTCTGCTCCCGAGCCCACACGCCCATCGAAGCCCTTCCCCCCGCCCCGCGGGCAGCCGCCTGGTGGCTCCCCCCGACCAGGCCCCCACTAGAGGCTTCTCAAACGGGGTCCAAGAGTAGATGGGGTCGGAGGATCGCTCCGCATCCCCGATGCAGCCTCGATGCATCGGCGATGCATCGGCGACGCCTGCGCTGCATCGGCGCCGTCGGCGCAGAGAGTATCGGGCGCCACATCTCGCCGCATCGGTGACGCAGCGGCGATGCAGCGCGACCCCCTCCGACCCCGTCTGCTCCGACCTCATCTGGGAGGTCTGGGCCCCGTCCCTTCCTCCTCCTCCTCCTCCTCCTCCTCCCTCCCTCCCTCCCTCCCTCCCTCCCTCCCTCCTCCCTCCTCCCTCCTCCCTCCTCCCTCCTCCCTCCTCCCTCCCTCCTCCCTCCTCCCTCCTCTCCCCCCAGAGGTCCCTCCCCATTATATTGCGATGCTCCGCCATGCCAAGAAGGGGCGTCAGTTGTCGGAGTTGATGATCACCATCGCCACGGGCGGCTACTGGACTCAGGATCGCAAGCGCTCGGCCAATCTCAGCAAGTCCGACCTGTGCGAGCGATGCGGCGAGGTGTCTGACTCGCCTTTGCATCGCAAGTCGCTGTGCAGTAAAAACCAAGGGTCAGCAGCATATGCTCAATCGGACTGCTTGGTCGGGGAGGCTCAGGCAGAACAAGAAGCGTGCCCGTGTTTTTGGATGAGGGGGGTGATTCCCAGTGAGTGGACTCGCGTGCCCGCCCCAGCTCAGGACGAAGCCTTTTTCGGTGGAAATCTTCCCGAGGGGCGTCTCGGTCCTGGGTGTCTCGGCAACGGGACTCAGGACTTGCCGATTTATGTTTTCGGGGACGCCTCAGGGGGAAAAGATACCCACGATAGTAGGCTGCGTAGAGTAGGTTGTGCGGTAGCCACGTTTCAGAGTTATGATCCGTGTGAGCTGGGCCCGTACCTTTTCGGGCCCCTGGTAGGGCCAGCCCAAACGGTCCCCAGGGGAGAGCTCCAGGCATTTGAATGGACCGTTCGTTTCACGACTGGGCCCATAGTTTACATTACCGATTGTGCTGAGGTCGCTCGAGGGTGGTACGCATCCGCGGTCGACAGTCCCGAGGGCCCTCAGGCAGATCTGTGGCGCAGCATCGGTCTCACCCTCACTGCTCAGGGTAGAAGTGCGAGTGGCATTGTTGTTGTGCAGGTCCCGTCCCACCTCTCAGCCAGAGAAGTGATCCAGCGGGGGTGGGACAGCCGGCTAATAATCGGCAACGCATGTGTAGATGAGCTTGCAGGGGCGGCCGCTAAGTTGGCTAGGGTCCCAGAGGCCGACATATTTAGAGTGCACAAGTAGAACGTAAGGCGAGACTTGTCAGGAGGCGTTTGCTCAGAGTAGGGTTAGACTCGATCCAGGCTTCCCAGGCCGTCAAGGCTAAGGAAGGGGCTCCCCTGGCCCCGCCTGGTCCCCCTGCCCCTCGGCCTCCTCCTCCTCTTGCCCTGGCCCGTTTCGCTTCTGCCCACACCCTGACCGAAAATGGCAGAGCGTGCTCGGTGTGTTTCAGTTCGTGTTCGAAGGATAAGGAGTCCGAATGGTTGAAAAGCGCTTGCATCCCTCCCCTGCCCGTGAATGCCAGGTTATCCCGAGCCCCCCTGGGACGGAGTTTACACTTGGCAGGTGGCTGGACGCATCCCTCACACGCCCTTCGGTATCACAAAGACCTTGGATTATGGCTTTGTGGGTTGTGCGGATTTTTCGGTCAGGCCCAACTCAGGGGCTTAGGTAATCCTTGTCGCCCCCACCTAATCACCAAGGCCAGGCGCGAGTATTTGGACCGAATCGATCGCGACCTGTTGCCCAAATGCTGAGCTCAGCCTTATATCACTACGTGATGGCGGAAATCCTGGAAATCCTCCTCCTCCTCCTCCTCCTCCTCCCTCCCTCCCTCCCTCCCTCCCTCCCTCCCTCCTCCCTCCCTCCCTCCCTCCCTCCTCCCTCCTCCCCCCTCCCCCCCCAGAGGGCCCTCCCTCCGCAGAGGGCCGCGGGGCCCCCACGCGCCCCAGTCGAGGCCCTCTCCCGCCTCCCCCTCCGCGGGCGGCTCGGGGCGGCCAGGCGGCGACCTCCTCCGAGACGTCCACGGGGTCCGCAAGGCAGTCCCTGTCGACCTGGGGGCCACCGTCTCGGGAGCGCCGAGAGGTCGGTCCTCCCTCGGGCCCGTCAATGCCTTCCCTAGGGCGACGAGATCTGTGCATATCCACTGCTCCCTGGCCAGGCCCATCCTGGGCCCAGGAGCGGTGTATATGCCTCCCTGGCCAAGCCAGGAGGGCGTATACACAGCTCTTGGGCCCAGGATTGGCCTGGCCGGGAGCAGTGGATATGTATAGATATCGTCGCCCTGTTCCCCCGGGTCCCCCCGCTCATCCGATTTCGCATCCTTCGCCTAGTGCTACTCCGTCCGCTTGCCCCGAAAGTCCTTCTCGGTGGGCGAATCGCAGTCGTCAGCAGCATAATAATCACCATCACCACCACCATCAGGGTGACAATCTGCAGCAGCATGATCATCATCAGCAGCGGCATCATTATCGTCAGCAGCAGCAACAGCAGCAGCAGCATCATGATCCCCGTCGCCATCATCTTTTGGTCGCGGCCACGAGACGACGGTCAGGCGGCAAGAGCAAAGTCCGGGACGCGAACTAGGCAAATTAGCTACAACAGGCACAGGCCGGCCGGCCCACTCACACAGCAGCCACGAGGCTGAAAGATCCTCGTCGCCATCATCGCAACAATCATAATCGACATAATCACCAGCCTCAACATCATCAACAGTATCAGCATCATCACCACCACCACCATCAGCATCATCATCATCGTCATCATCATAATCGTCGTCGTCGTCATCATCATCATCATCATCATTATCATCAGCAGCAACATCATCAGCATCATCATCAGCATCATCAGCAGCATCATCATCAGCCTCAACATCACCATCAGTGTCAGCATCATCATCAGCAGCATCATCACCATCGTCATCATCGTTACCAACATCATCAGCGCCAGCATCATCATCAGCAGCAGCATCATCATCAGCTTCAGCATCATCACCATCACCATCATCATCATCAGCGTCGTCATCGTCGTCATCACTATCCGCATCATCAGCATCAGCATCAACATCATCATGTCCATGATCATTGCCATCGGCATCCACATCATCAGCACCAGCATCATCCGCATCATCATCACCATTATCAGAATCCTAATCAGCATCACCGCCATCATCATCGTCATCATCATCAGCAGCATCGTAACCATCATCATCACCTTCATTACCATCATCATCAGCATCAGCATCATCATCAGCGTCAGCATCACCCTTCATCATCATCAGCAGCATCATCGTTATCGGCATCGTCATCAGCATCATCGTCGTCATCATGGTAATCATCGTCCAGACCATCAGCACCATCATCATCAGCATCAGCATCACCGTCATCATCGTCATCCTCATCAGCAGCATCATCATAATAATCAGCATCATCATCCTCATACTCATTCGCATCCTCATCATCAGCATCATCGTCGTTATATCACAATAATGAGCAACCTCAGCATCAGCATCATCATCATCAACAGCATGATCGTCAGAATTACCATAAAACAGAAATATTATGATTCGTATCAGCATCCATATCATCAGCAGCATCATCAGAATCATCAGCAGCAGCATCGTCGTCATCACCATCAGAATCATCGTAATCAGTTTCAACATCCTAGTCGTCGTCATGTCCGTCACCATCAAGATCATCGTAATCAGCATCGTAATCAGCATCATCACCATCATCATCGACGACAACAGCAGTATCATCATCAGCAGCATGATCACCATCATCTGTATCATCATCATCATCATCATCATCATCATCATCATCATCATCACCATCACCATCATCATCATCATCATCATCATCGTCATTGTCATCGTCATCATCATCATCGTCATCGTCATCGTCGCCTTCCTCATCTCAATCACCATCACCATCATGCTCAGCAGCAGCACCCGCAGTACCAGCATCATCCTCGTCATCATTGTTATTGTCATTCCCTACCTAGGCTCTGCCTAGAAGGGTTCTTACTTCAGAGCTTAAAGGGGCCGGGCAGTGGGGCTCGCCCCGGGCGGTTCCCCCGGCATCCGCCCCGCGGTTCCCCCAGTCACGTCCCCTTAGCTTAGCGTTGCGTATCTCAGTTTAGCTTAGCTTATTTCATCTTAGCTTAGCTTAGCTTCATCTTAGCTCAGGTTTATCTTAGCTTAGCTTACCTTCATCTTAGCTTCGCTGAGCTGTAGCATAGCAGAGCACAGCATAGCACAGCATAGCGTAGCATAGCATAGCGCAGCACAGCATATTAGCACGGGTGTAATTCCCTACCTAGGCTCTGCCTAGCGGGTTAGCTTAGCTTAGCATAGCGCTGCGCTGCATTAGCATGGCATAGCATAGCATAACATAGCCAAGCATAGCATAGTGTAGCATAGCATAGCGCAGCATAGCATAGCGTAGCGTAGCATAGCATAGCATAGCGCAGCTTAGGATAGCATAGCATAGCATAGCACAGCATAGCATAGCATAGCATAGCACAGCGCAGCATGACATGGCATAGCTTAGCATAGCATAGCATAGCATAGCATAGCATAGCGCAGCATAGCATAGCATAGCATAGTATAGCATAGCGCAGCATAGCATGACATAGCATAACATAGCATAGCATAGCAACTAATGCTGCTTTCCTAGGGGCTCCAACTTCTAGGTAGGGTCGCACTGGGGTAATTGTCAGTGCTGCCATTAACGCAAATAGCTCCATTGCCAGCATTGTCGTCATTATCATCATTGTCGTCGTCTCGCCTTCGTCGTCATCATCATCATCATCATCATCATCATCATCATCATCATCATCATCATCGTCATCGGCATCGGTGTCAGCGCCATCATCACCATCACCACCACATCATTTCACCACCATCACTGTCATTGTACTCGTCATCGTGATGCACATCACCGTCATCATCATCAGCATCATCATCAGCATCATCAAAATCCTCATCATCATCATCATCATCATCCTCATCATCATTATCGTCATTGTCCTCATCATAACCAACATCATCATCATCAGCAGCAGCATCATCATCATCATCAGCAGCAGCATCATCATCATCGCCACCACGGTCATCAGTCAGAAGCATCATGATATCCCTGACCCGCCAGTAAATCTCATTCCCTTCCCACTCCTCTCTTCGCCCACCTTCCCAATCCCCAGCGCGCCATCCCATCTTCCCTCCTCGCTGCCCTCAGCCCCAATCATCGCCATCCGAAGTGTTCCCGCTCCCTCCCTGCGGAAAACAGAAGGCTCGGCAGTGGACAAACCTCCCTCTAGTAAACCTCCCTGTAGTGAACACGGCCCAGGACCGAAACCGACGGACCTGGACCCGCAGAAATGAAGGCCGCGACGCCCTCTTGCGAACCGCAAACGGCCAATTCGCTCATCGACGTGTCAGGGGGGAGGAGGCCTATCAACCTCGGGGAACGGCACCCGCACCGCTGCCCTCCGGCCCTCCCCCCCCGGGATGTGCGTGCCGACCGCCACCACCTCATCGGGCGACTCCGGCCGAGGGCGACGGAGCGCCTCCCGGGGAGGCCCAGCAAGAGCGAGAGCGAGGGCAGGGCAGCGGCATCGGTGGGCGGCGGCCGCGGGGTTCGGGCGGGACTTAATGGGGGGGTCATAAACGGGGGGATCAGAAAAGGTCCCCTTTCGTGCCCCTTTCGGGCCCCTCCAGAGCCCCAGGGGGCTCGTTTAGGTATCGTTTGGGTACCTTTTCGAACCACCCTCGCCACCCCCCCATTTATGACCCCCCCATTACGCGGCGCCCAAGGGGTTTGAACTGGCTTCGGGCCGGAAGAAAGGGGGGGACAGCAGAGGGGATTTGAGAATCGGCTCACGCAGCTGGCTCTCCCAGCGCCTCCCGGCGCCGGGAGGCGCCCATGCATCGAGGAATGGGCCCGGCGGCGGGGCCGAAACCAGCTGCATGCAGCCGATTTCGTAACCCCCCCTCTCCCTATCCCCCCCTTTCGTTCGGCCCGATGGCTGGGGCCCCAGAAAATTAGTCCGGAGGAGGGGTTGAAGCCAAACCCGCTCAGGTTCGGTCCCCAGACTCCTCCTGGGGTCCATCTGGTGCAGTGTTTCACCCCCGTTCAGTTTTCCAAGCCCCGGGGCCTGAAAACGGACCCCGGAGGCCGAGAAAGGCCAACAACCCTACCGAACCCAGCGTCTCGAAACTGCCCTCAATCCTGCTGGCCGGAACCAGTGCTGGGCCACCTCAGACCCCCAGCTGGCTCCAAGGTATCCGCACCTTTTCCTCCTCTGAGCTCTTCCTCTTATAACCAAGCGCCTTCCACTACTCGGAAAGTAACTGCTGGCAAATGGCCTGGATCCGCCGCGGGGGATTCACGATCCATTACAGCGAGACAAAGATGTTTTTTCGGACGTTTGCGAATAGGCACTGTGCGAGTAGTGGAACGCGCTCGGCGATCTTATCTCGAGTCCCTGATGTCTTCCCCAGTGTCGACGCAGCCAGCGCCCTTTGCGCTCGGGATGCCCGCGTTGAGGATGGTAGGAATCGACGCCACCGCGGCCTCGCAGAGCTCCTGGCACCAGACAGAGAATGAGGACAGACAGGGAGGACAGTCGGGAGCGGCCAAGAGGAGGGTGTCCAAGAGGGGGGGTGCAAATCATGACCGGCGGCATGTGCGCGGCCCCGCGGGAGGGCCAGGGACGTAATGAAATAAGCGCAGGCGGCGGCCCGGGAGCGAGCGCAGACCGCAGGCAACGAAGCCGACCAGCCACAACTGGGGGAGCTGTGGTCCTTACCCCCCTGGGGGAACCCATCGCATCGACGATCTCTCGAGAGGGGTGTCGAAGTCGACGGGTCCCCCAGGGGGGTAAGGACCACAGCTGCCCCAGTGGTGGCTGGCCTGCGAAGGCAGGATCAGGATCCAAAATCGGCTCCGGGTAAATCGGGAATCGCTGAGACCTGGCGGCTCTGGGGGACTTCTCGGGCGCCGCGGCCCTCTCAGAGCGTTCCCGAGTACTCTGAGAGAGCGCTCCTAGAGGCCTCCCCAATTGGGTCGGAGTAGATGGGGAGGATCGCACCACATCGTCAATGCATCGCCGATGCATCGGCGATGTACCGGCGACGTCGACGATGCGTCGGCGACGTCGGCGTGGAGAAAATCGGGATCCACATAGAGCCGCATCGCCGATGCATCCACGATGCGGCGCGCTCCCCCGACCACATCTGCTCGGACCCATCTGGGACGCCTGGAGCTCCAGCACGCTGTGGAGCGACTTACCCCGATCCTGGACCCAACTAGACGAGCGCGTTCCACTACTCGCAAAGTAACTACTCGCAAATGGCCTGGATCCGCCGCGGGGGACATACGAGACATGACACCAAAAACGGACATGCGCTGCTGTTCGGACGTTTGCGAGTAGGCACTTTGTGAGCAAAGGAAGCCGCTCGGCGACCACCTTAAGCAGCAGCGGGAGCCCCCGCGCGGCCCCTGCTGCCGCGGCGGCTGCCGCGCTCCTGGCAGCCGAAGGTGGCCCCGAGGCCGAGCTCGGCGAGCAGGCCGGCGGCGTCCTGCCGGCTTCCGCGGAGGTTCGGGCCGGGGGCCGGTCGCCGCGAGCCACGGCGGGCCATGCCCAGGCGGGCGCTCGAGGCGGGAGGCATCTGCACGCAGCACCCTGCGGTAGGGTTATCCTCCTCCTCCTCCTCCTCCTCCCCCTCCTCCTCCTCCTCCTCCTCTTCCTCCTCCTCCTCCTCCTCCTGCTCCTCCTCCTCCTCCTCCGCCTCCTCCTCCTCCGCCTCCTCCTCCTCCTCCTCGCTCTCCCTGCCTCCCTGCATCTCTCCCTCGCGTCTCGGCCTGGAGACAGCCCGACGGCGCCCCGCCCTCCCCACTTGGGGGGGGGGGCCCGGGGCGTTGGAGTTGCATTCCACCACGCACGCCGCTGCACACCAGGCCAAGCTCAAGCCGCGCCTCGCCGAGAACGCCCCAGGGGTGCCCCCGTGGCTCCAGACGACCCTCTGAGACCAGAAGACCAATGCAAAAGCAAGCGGCCTGAAACCTGGACCCACGGCAGAAGACCCACGGCGTGCCATCCACGACCCAGGTGCCGCCTCGCCCTCCTGGCGAGACGAAAGAAGCATACACGCCGATCATGGCCCGAAATCGGCCTGGCCGCCAAATGCGGGCTTCTGTCTCGTGAACAGGGGCAAGCGACAGAAACCACCAACAAAAAATTGACGAGCATCTCCCCGTCAAACCCTTCACCTCGTCATGCTACTGTTAAACGCACGGAGTGCAAGCGAAAACAAACGGGCACGCGGGTGCTCCGATCGGGACAATCACGACTCCATGCTTCAATTCTGCCAGACCGCACTCCCTCTACATACTGAAGGGGGCATAACGTGGGCAGACGTTTTCGCGGGCACCGCGTGTTGCTTCACGTCGGTGTTCCCGCCCTGCAATGAAGAACTTTGGACTGGAATGGGCGATACATCGCGAGTAGACCAGCAGTAGGCCCCCGATAGCGAATCCCCACGTTACTGGGTCCCCATATCGGCGATCTGCGATTGGCAGTCGATGCATCCCCTTCTGAGCTAACCCCCCCAATGATACTCGTCGTCCGGTGTTGGGTAATCCACCATGCCCGCTTGCCGTGAGTGAGAAGTCGTGTGAGATAATTGGCTGTCTCCCTCCCCATCCCCCCTCCCCCAGGGTCCTAAATCGCGTTTGACGTGGGGGAGCCCGGGGGGGGGGGGGCGAGTTCGCCAACGCACCCCATGGCCTCTGGAGCCTCCAAATCCGAACTCCATGGCCTCCAAATCCGAACTCCGTGGCCTCCAAGACGCCGATGATTCCATCTAAGCTTGCTCCAGCTGGGCTCCAATGTGCAGAAGAAGCCTCAAAGACACCCACGATAGCCTCGAGACGGCCCAAGAGGCTTCGAAGGCACCCCAAGAGAGCTCCAGACGAAGGCAAAAATCGTCAAAATGCTCAAAGGCAACGTGAATGTTTGGCACGTTCGGCCTCTTTACGGCGTCCAAGACGGCTCGAGACGCTCGCAAGATCGCTCCACAGCGACCCAACAAAACTGCTTGGGGGCCCCATCCCAAGACGGCCCAAGAGGCGCGCAAGACGGCTCAAGAGGACCCCGACAGAGCCCTCAGACGGGCCCAAGAGAAGAGAGGTAAGCCGAATGCACCCGTCGAGCCCTCCGCCCAACGAAGACCCTCCAAGGCATCCCAGGGAAGGAACACCGCTGAGAACCGACGCACAAATGCAAAAGCCTCGAGCCTCGAGCTTCGAACCTCGAACCTCCTGAGCCTCTCCCATCCGACGTCGCCCCTGGCTGGCAGCGCGGCAAGACGGCGCCGGTGGTGCTCCCTGGGGTCCTCTGGCTCGACCGCGAGGGTGTCCGCGAGCTCCGCGGTGGTGCCTGGGGCGGGCCCCACCACGAGGCACGAGCGCCGAGGAGCGGGTTCAGGGGCAAAAGCAAGTGCAAATGCGGTCGGGAGTTTGCCGTCCCGGATCTACAGTGGTGGGCGGACCCCTACGGGTACTCCAGATTTCGTAATAAAAGGAGGGGGGTCTCATTTGGGGGGGGGGGGTCTCTTCCAGGCTATCTTGGAGGGCCTGGGGGGGGTCTGGGGACGATGTTTTGGAGGGTTCTCCCACGGGGGAGGTCTGAAATGGCTTGTCTTGGAGGGTCCAGACCCCCTCCATTTAATTACGAAATCTGGAGTAGCATGGATGCCAGACCCGTGCACGGCTGGACGCGCACGCGAGGGCGAGCCGAGGGGTCCGCCCACCAGTGCCCCTGCAGGGGGCGGCCGGCAGGTGGCCACTTGCCTGCCAAGGTCCGACCGACCCCACCGAGGAGCGGGGCCCAGACCCCCGACGTCATGTTGCTCCCAACCATCCTGTGGTGTTGGGTCCTCGTTCTGAAGAGACAGCCCCCCGCGTTTCCTCTCCTGCTTCCTCCGTCCTCATCCACCTGCGTGTCTCTGACCTCCGCATGCCCATTTCGGCACACCTCTCACACGTTTCGTGGCCCCATGAGTGAGCCCCACCGAGGGCCCCAGCGGCTGCGTTCGCATGGCACCACCGCACCACGCTTCGTTGCCCCATAGAGAGCTCCACCGAAGGCCCAAGTGGCTGCGTTCGCATGGCACCACTGCACCCATGTCGGCACACCCCTCACACGTTTCGTGGCCCCGTGGGGAGCTCCACGGAAGGCCCAAGTGGCTGCGTTCGCATGGCACCACCGCACCCATTTCGGCACATCCCTCACACGCTTCGTGGCCCCATCGGGAGCCCCTCTGAATGAAGGCCCAAGTGGCTGCGTTCGCATGGCACCACCACACCCATTTCGGCACACCCCTCACGCGCTTCGTCGCCCCATGGGGAACCCCACCGAAGGCCCAAGTGGCTGCGTTCGCATGGCACCACCGCACCCATTTCAGCACACCCTCACACGTTTCGTGGCCCCATAAGGAGCTCCACCGAAGGCCCAAGTGGCTGCGTTCGCATGGCACCACCGCACCCATTTCAGCACATTCCTCGCACGTTTGGTGGCCCCAAAGAGAGCTCCACCGAAGGCCCAAGTGGCTGCGTTCGCATGGCACCACCGCACCCATTTCGGCACCACCCTCATAAGTTTCGTGGCCCCAAGGGAAGCTCCATTGAAGGCCCAAGTGGCTGCGTTCGCATGGCACCACCGCACCCATTTCGGCACACCCCTCACACGTTTCGTCGCCCCATGGGAAGCTCCACCGAAGGCCCAAATGGATACGTTCGCATGGCGCCACCACACCCGTTTCGGCACACCCCTCACACGTTTCGTGGCCCCATAGGGAGCTCCACCGAAGGCCCAGGGGGCTGCGTTCGCATGGCACCACAGCACCCATTTCAGCACATTCCTCGCACGTTTGGTGGCCCCATAGGGAACCCCACCGAAGGCCCAAGTGGCTGCGTTCGCACGGCACCACCGCACCCATTTCGGCACATTCCTCGCACGTTTCGCGGCTCCATAGGGAGCTCCAGTGAAGACCCAAGTGGTGGCGCTCGCATGCGCCCAGCCCCATGAGGAGATCCCCCGAAGGCGATACCCCTAACGACGGTACTCATAACTGCGTATGGTTGGGTCCTTCGCCAGGATAACTGTCAGAACGTCGACCCCCAGAGGTATCGACCCATTACCTGGGACTGGCGCTCCATCCTGAGTGTTGTTTCACGGTCCCGAGGTCCGTTAAGGTCTCCCAGACGGTAAAGATATAGTCATATATATATATATACACATACATACATACATACATACATACATACATACATACATACATGCATCCATACATCCATACATGCGTACATAAATACATACATACATACATACATGCATGCATGCATGCATGCATGCATGCATACATACATACATACATACATACATACATACATACAGACATACATACATACATACATACATACATACATGCATACATACATACATACATTACATTACATTACATATATACATACATACATACATACATACATACATACATACATACATACATACATAATGCATGCATGCATGCATGCATGCATGCATGCATGCATGCATACATACATACATACATACATACATACATGTACATATATATATACATATATACATACAAAGGAAGAATTTCACGTTGTACATCTATGTATAATATGTGCTGCGTGTTAAAAATGGTGTTAGTGACCCGAGGGGTCTGGGGAGGAGAAGGAGGATGAGGAGGAGGAGGAGTAGGAGGAGTAGGAGGAGGAAAAGAAGAAGGAGGAGGAGGAAGAGGATTCTCCCGCTCGCGCGCTAGCGAGCTGTCTCCGAGCGCGGCCGCGGCTCGCGCGCGCGGGGCGGCCCAAAATGGGCAGGCCCGTCCCGCGCGCTCGTGCCGGGGCGCCGCGCGTCAGGCGGGGGAGACCGCCTGCTCGCCGACGACGGCGAGGCAGCGCCCATCAGCCTTAGATTGGGAGAGGAGGGAGGGGGGCAGAGAAGCTGCGGAGACAGCAGGAGCTTGCTCACAGAGAATAGAAGAGGCATTCTCCCGCTCGCGCGCTAGCGAGCTGTCTCCGAGCGCGGCCGCGGCTCGCGCGCGCGGGGCGGCCCAAAATGGGCAGGCCCGTCCCGCGCGCTCGTGCCGGGGCGCCGCGCGTCAGGCGGGGGAGACCGCCTGCTCGCCGACGACGGCGAGGCAGCCATACCCGTGCTCAAGGACCTTGCGAAGTGACAAGGTTTCGGCGGGCGGCCGCAAGTAGGGCAGGCCAAGCGGCGGGGCCGACTTGGAGAAATGAAGCGACAAGGCGGTCGCTGGCGGTGGCGAAGAACAGGATCCGCGCCCGTGCGGGCACGGGCAGCGCAGCAAGAACTGTGGAAGCGGCGGCGGCTTGCAGGTAGCGCTCAGCACTGGAAGCCTGACGCCAACGCCCCCGCCAGAAGACGCGAGGGACGTCTTCCGTAGCGATATAGAAGTCTGTTGCGCCAGAGCCCCGCAGACATGCGGGCGTCAGGTTGAGCCCCTGACCCGCTTTGGCAAGAGGGACGCCCAGGGCCGAAAGCAAATGATTCCACCGAGTACGGAAGCCGCTCGCACCGAAAGGGGCGAGAGGATCGGTGGAAGCCAACCGCCCAAACACTTGATTCAGAATCTTCACCGTGCCCCGATCGGAGCAGCGAGCATGCTGCGTCGGGTACGTTCTCCTGGTCTTTGGAACAAGAATCGAAAGAAAAGCATCCCCTTCAACTTCGAGGCGGTCGCAAGGAAGCGACAAGTCACAGCGGCGTGACGCCAGCAGCTCGCCAGGCCTGAGGAACATCGTAAAGCCCATGAGCAGCAAGGCCGCCATCACAGGCCAGTCCCAGGCGAAACAGAGACCGACCATAGCGCGCAGCAGAGCGCGAGGTAAGGGCGGGCGGAGCTTTGGCGGCTCCGCGAGCTTCCATTGTTTCGCTACGTCCCAAGCTTCTGTTAGAAAGGCCTTCCAATGCGGATGAGCGCTCTGGATTCCCAAGATGGCATGAACCAGAATATAATGAGGGAAACCTGCATCATGAAGCCACACGCCGAAGGTCGCGAGGAAGCGGGCGAGAAGTATCCCGCTACGGTAAAGAGTGGCGGGCGGCACGCCAGTGTGTTCTGCTAACCACAGTTCGAACGCATCAATCGATCTCGAGCGACGATCGAGATACGCGGAGGTGAGGTGAGAATCGCGCACGAAGGGAGTGCGCGGAGGGCGAGCGGGCGCGGAAGGCGCAGCCCGACTAAGCCCTTGGCCTGCGGTCGGCGCCGCGGCTCCCAGAGAGATGCAGAGGCCGCAGACGCACCACAGGATGAGCGCAGGGCGGCCAGGGCTGGGAGAGCTGATCAGCGTGGCGGCCCTCCTGCTCCTGGACGCGTAGAAGGGCGGAACGAGGGCGTCCCGCCCGTCGGTCTCGAACCCCGACGCCTCCGCCAGCATCGCCCGCGCCGAGGTGAAGGATCCGCCCATGTTACGGTGAGCACGGCGAGCCCCTGCTTCGATCTCGGCGGGCAGAGCGTCCCTTCCCTCGAGGGTCGCCCAGTCAAAGGGCGGGCGCGGCTCGGCGCGCGCAGCTGCGGCCGATTCGGCGAGCTCGGAACGAGCTGCCGAGGACGTGAGGCCCGAATGATGTGGAACGGGCACCACCTCCGCGAACGCGTCGAGGATCTCGGACGGAGGGGAATGAGATCCCCACAGCGCTGCTGGGATGGCGCCGTGACCGTCCTGCACGTGGTACAGAAGGTCGAAAAGGCAGGCCAACTTGCCCGCGCGCCTCCTGTGCTCGATCTTTGAGCCGAGCCCGATGCCACGGATGGCGCCCGCCCCCATGGCTTGGAGGTCAGCGCCCGCGGGGATAGCCTCGGGCTCGACGGCGGCCACGTAAGGATGCAACCACGAGGCTTCGTCGATCGGCTCGGCGCCGCCTGTCTGAAACAGGCGCTTATAGGCGTGCAAGGCCTGCAGGAGGCAGTGCAGGTCATCTCTGCCCTCGGGCTCGGCGGCCCCTGCGGGTGCGAAAGACCTCAGCCACGACGCCGCGCTCTGGAAGGCAGCTTGCCAGGCGGGTCCCCACCTCACCACTGTGACCTTCTCACCGCCGAGGTTGAGACGCCACGCTAGGGCGGTGGCGGCCCCTGGAGGCAAGGGCTGCTCAACGGCCGCGGAGGCCGTGCGCCGCGCTGCGAAGGCTGCAGCCGCGGCGCTCCCAGCGTCGCCGCTGTGGGAGCCGCTGGGATGCAGCTCGTGCCCTGAATCTCGGCCAGGCGCGGGGCCGCTCGAAGACCCCCTTTCCTCGGCGGCACGCCCTCCGCCCTGCGGGGCCGCAACAGCATCGCTGGAGGAGCGCGTGCCTACCGAAGACTGAGGGGCCTGAGCAGCGGA